CCATAAAGAAGGAAAAAAATCACATAATCATATCAATTGATGCAGAAAAAGCATTTGATAAAATTCAATATCCATTCATGATAAAAACGCTGAGAAAAAATAAGAATAGAAGGACATCCTTAATTTGATAAAGAGCATCTGCAAATATCTTACCGTTCACATTATATTTAATAATGAAAGACTGGATGTTTTGCTCATAAGATTAGAAACAAGGTAAGGATGTGTGCACTCACCACTGTTATTAAAGATCATGCTAGAAGTTCTAGCAAGTGCAATAAGGCAAAAAATGAAATAAAAGGCAGACGTATTGGGAAGGAAGAAATAAATCTGTCCTTATTGGTAGATGGCCTGATTGTCTGTGTGTAAAATCCCAAGGATCTACCAAAAAAGTGAAAAAGAAAAGAAAAAAACTCAAAGAACTTATAAGCATGGTCGCAAAATACAGCACAAACACAATAACCAATTATATTTCTGTGTGCTAGCAGTGGGCACTGAAATTAAAAATACAATAACATTTCCAGTTGTTCATAAAAGTGCAAATAGGTATAAATCTAACAAAAACATTTCCAGTTGTTCATAAAAGTGCAAATAGGTATAAATCTAACAAAACTTGTAAAGAATCTGTATGCTGAAAACCACAGAATGCTGATGAAAGAAATCAAATATCTAAATAAAGGAAGACATATGTCGTGTTCATGGATTAGAAGGCGACACAGGGAATAGTCAATTTACTGATAATCAACAGAGTAATAGTCATTTCTCCCCAAATTGCTACACAGGTTTAATGTAATTCCTATCAAAATCACAGCAGAATTTTGTTTAGATATAGAGATAGAGACAATATTATTCTAAAATTTATATGGAAAGGTGAAGAAATTAGAAAACTTAAAACAGTTTTTATAAAGAAGAATAATGTGATGGGGCTGGCCCCGTGGCCGAGTGGTTAAGTTTGCGCACTCCGCTGCAGGCGGCCCAGTGTTTCGTGAGTTCGAATCCTGGGCGCGGACATGGCACTGCTCATCAAACCACTCTGAGGCGGCGTCCCACATGCCACAACTAGAAGGACCCACAACGAAGAATATACAACTATGTACCGGGCGGCTTTGGGGAGAAAAAGGAAAAAAATAAAATCTTTAAAAAAAAAAAAAAAAGAAGAAGAATGTGGGAGGAATTAGCCTACTTAATTTAAAGTCTTATTATGAAGCTTCAGTAATCAAGACAGAGTGGAGGGATAGACACATAGATCAATGGGACAGGTTATAAAATGCAGAAACAGACTCACACTCATGTGTTCAACCGATTTGGGGGAGGTGAAGGTGTCCATAAATTGGCAAGATGTGGGATCCGCACGGTCATGTGAATGTCCTGCATCTTCACTGCGTTAACGTCAGCATCCAGGTTGCGATGGTTTTGCAGGATGTTACTATTGCAGGGGACTGGGTAAAGGGTCCACAGGACCTCTCTTAAACTTTCTAAAACTTTGAGAAATATTTAGAGGTGATAGGAGCAGGTTATATATGGACGTAATAAATGGGCGTGAGTGGGTATCATTTATTTAGATTTTCAAATTGCCTTTAGAAGGCCAGTATCAAACTTCATTGGATTGAGGAAATTATCATAGTTAAAAGACCAAATTTGGAATCAGGCTATATTTTATCTTTATAGCAAAAGAATGAAAAACCTTCGTTTATATGAGTGTGTATTTGTGTGTATATATGTCTACACACGTGCGTGTGTGTGTTGTGTGTATTTCTCAGATCTGTCCACTGAATGCTCCTATAAACATTGACTAACCCATTTATAATGTGTTACGGTGTACCTCTAGGGTCCAGATGGTGGTCTCTGATTTTAATTTTTTCACTAAAATATGCAAGAACTCTTTGAGGAAATACTTGATTCCAGATTTGGGATCAGGGGAAAAGACATCTGGAAACAGATGTTGACATTCCACTAATGCCAGTTTTCTGTAACACATCCCCAGTCGTTTGCATTATTATATTAATTGTGATAAAATAGCTGAGTTATTTGGGGTAGTCTTTCATACTTGTATGGAGCTGTCAGCTCGGATTCTGTCAATACTGCAATCATCCACGTCTTATGAGTAGGATCAGAAGTGCTTAAAGTTGGAGGGCCCTTGCAGAATGTTATTTAATACATGAAGATGGACTCAAAGAGCTAGAGTAGTTTGCCCATTATCACAAAAATACATAAGCTCACCTGCTTTATGATTCAGTAATTTTATACAAACTGCTTTTTTTCTTTTTACTTGTTTTTTGTGAGGAAGATTGGCCCTGAGCTAACATGTGTGCCAATCTTCCTCTATTTTATGTGGGATGCTGCCACAGCGTGGCTTGAGGGGAGATGCTGGGTCTGCACCTGGGATCCGAACCTGCAAACCCCAGGCCACCGAAGTGGAGCACGTGAACTTAACCACTATGCCACCAGGCCTGCTCCTATACAAAATAATTTTTGCTAAACCCTATGCTTCCTACAAGCATCAAATTGCCCTTGTCAGATGTTTGCGCTTGTGTGTGTGTGAAATATCCTTTTCTAGGTAACCTGACCAGTTGGAGTCTCCAACTAGGATGTTTTGAGCTTTAGCTTTAACTGGAGACCTTCAGCTTTTTCTCTGGGTATCTAAGTGCAACCAGGGTGCCAATCATGAGAACTTTCCAAAGCACATGTTTTTGTGATAATAAGAGACTCATCAGCATGATCTTAAATTAAAAAGGATAGCACTTGGGGGCCGGCCCTATGGCATAGCAGTTAAGCTCGCTTGCTCTGCTTTGGCGGCCCAGGGTTTGCCAGTTTGGATCCTGGGCACAGACCTACACACTGTTAATCAAGCCATGCTGTGGTGGCATCCCATATGGAAGAGCTAGAATGCCTTACAACTAAGATATACAACTATATGCTGGAGCTTTGGGAGGAAAAAAAAGAGGAAGATTGGCAAAAGTTGTTAGCCCAGGGCCAATCTTCCTCACCAAAAAATATACCTTAAAAAAAAAAAAAGGACGGCACAATGTTATGCTATATGTGGTCACAATATAACGAAACCTTTCTATTCATTTCACCAAATATATATTGAACGTGCCCAATAGACAAGGCATTTGCTACAGGGAGACAGAGCTGAACAATACATAGTCACTGCCCTCAAGGTATGGTAAGAATTTTGCTGCAAGGGTTAGGAAGGCCATCGCAAAACAAGGCCATACCAGGAGCAAAGACAGACAAGGAAGGAATGTATTGAGAGAAAAGCAGGTAGTCATCAGATTCCCATGCAAAGAGTGGGCCAGAACTGTAGATTGGAGCCATACAGAGGAGGCCCCTGCATGGCATTATCAGCTCGGGGACACGAAACGACCTGGCAAAGTCCATGTAAATCCAGAGTGGCTTAGAAAAATGTGTCCTGACTTCTCTTCCATGGTTTCCCTGGGCACTGCTGTCCCTTTGCAGAGAAGACAAACCTCTAGATAAAGGTTTCTCAACTCCCAAACTACGGACATTTGGGGCTGGAGAATTTTTCGTGGTGGAGCTGTCTGTCCAGTGTACTGTATGATGTTTAGTAGCATCTCTGTGCACCCACTCCCCAGTTGGGACAAACACAAATGTCTCCAGACACCGGCAAGTGTCCCCTGGGGGTTCCCATCAACCCTGGTTGAGAACCACTATTCTAGAGTATATAAAATGGTTCATATTTAACAATGGATAACATGTAACAGAATATATCACTCTGTCCTGGCAAGGTGGATGATTGGGAATTGATCTGGGGGTATCTGAAAGTTGTTTTGTTTTTTGGCACTGCCTCTTAGCTCAACCAGTCTTCGGATCCAAATTCATGGAAAATCTGAGAATCTGCAGGATGTCTTGGGACTACTGTGCCATTTAGGTTCTTATGACAGCAAAGAATAAAAACTCAGGGGGCTTTATTGTAAGGATGGACATGGTCAGGCCCTGGAACTTGGAAGTCATTTAGGATCAAGGCTCATTAGGGGTCATGTGGCCTTTTCCTAGGCTCCTCTCACTGGCCACACAGCCTCTTTCTTATGGATTCTTTCTCAGTCTGTCTAGTCCCTCCTTGCTGCCGATGGGACAATCCTGTCTGGGCTGTCTAGTTAAAATTCCCGAAGGAGTGGAGGTGATTATTGCCTTTGTTGATCTAACCGCCCATACTCCTCATGAGTGATGCAGCGTGAAGAGGTGTCATTGGTCGGCTCCCTCCCTAGCTCAGTCCTGGTCCACCCAGGACAAAGGACAGGCTATGATACCCAACCGTGGTGCTGTCCCGGAGACATTTCCACAAGGAGCAGAAGCAGCTGTTGAGGCAGATAAGCCTATGGCCGACCTGACTTCTCAGGACCACAGAGGGAGTTCACACTTAGCTGAGACTGAGAGAGGCAGTAAGACTTATCTGTCTTCAAAGATCAGGTCTCCTAGGCCAGACTGGAATACCAGTAAAATCGGGCAAGAAAGTCGTCTGAAGGTATTTGTCAGTAACCCGCGGGGAAGAAAACTGTCCTTTGAATAATCCAGAATTAATTGTTTCACATGTATTCTTCATTTTAAAGACTTCAGATAAACTGTTTAAATGATCCAAAAGGACCCTTTTAATAGAGACCATTGAATTCCTCAAACGGAAATCACATTCCTTCAAGGTGTCAGGGTCTTTGCACTTGGGTTAGTGAGTTTTCTGAGCAGGTAAGAGACCTGGAGAATAAAGGGGGCTACATGAGTCTGAGTCCTACCATTTTCTCTTAAACTCGTGCTCAGAGGAGGGCTTCGCACGTTAGAACAGGAGAGGGGGCCCTTGTTTAGGGCGCCAAATGAAAGTGCACAGACAGCGCTTTGAACTTGCGTCCATGTGAACTCGAAGCCCTGAAAACACTTCTTTTATGAATAATTGAAAACTCCCGCTGAGTCAAGTTATCCTGTAAAGGAAATTCGTTTTGTGGTCATGTTTAATCATTCATTAGTAATTGTGCTGTTTTCTTTTATTGCAGGTAACGTATGAAATTGCTAGAGCAATTGAAAAAAATAAGGACTCCCTTTCACAGAATCTTCTGTTTGTAATGAAAAGTAAGTTTTTCCCTCTCGCGGTTAAAATGTCACACGTTCCTTATTTTTCTCTCTCTGAACATTGTCATATAAAATATGCTACTAGCTAAGGGATAATTGAAATATCTTTTGCCTCCTAATGCCCAGAATAATAAGGAATGGATCTTGCCACCCTGTGCATTGGTTACAATTTAATTTGGAGTCTAGTAGAAAGCATAATTTAACTAAGCTTTTAGCAGATAGAAATATAAAACACCTTAACCACTCTAGTGATATGAATATAAAAAAGCTCTTTTGTGAAGACTAGTGAAGATGAATATGGCTTCCAAAGTCATTTAGGCCACAGCAGGGTGAATTTCATTGCTGAAGATGTACTTTCAGTTACAAAGAACTAACGCTCGTGAGGTAGGAGGAGCGTACAAATTTATATATACACACAGACATGCATATATGTGTATATCAATATAAATTTGTAGGCTCCATCAACTTAGTGAACCATAGTACTTTATATACCTGTATCTATAATTCCACACTATATGTAAAACTACATACTACATTTATATCTGGTATAATTGTGTATATATATCAATATATATAATTCTATCTTTTCTAGTCGTTATTTTCTTACTAGCAGCTCTGCAATGATTCTCATTTTCTTAATAAGCTTTTCAATGAATTGAAAGGTATCATCTTTTGTGCTTGAAGTTGCTGTAAACGAGGTAGAGTCATTTCCCTTTCCTGGAGAAAGAAGCACACAACAGCCCTTCAGGAAAGAGCCGATGTCTTTGAGCTGGGAATAAGACATCCATATCACTTCTGCTTTGAGGAATGTATTTACCTTAAATCAAGCAGCACAGTTGCAATATATTGTTTTTCACGGGGAATCACTCCGCTCGCCTCTCAGAACTTATGCTTATTGAATTCTCTTAAGGGCTGAGACTAATGATAAAAGCATGGACTTGGAGTAATATCGTGTAGAAAGAAAGAATTGAAATAATTGATCCTACTGATTATCATTGGAAATATCTTCCTCCTAGTTTTCAATTATTTGAACTTTCATTTATAACGTACTTCCTTTTAAGCCATATATTTTATGAAGATCTAATAGCATGTTTTTAAAGTTGGTGCGATACCCTTTTTCTTTGTTCTTGTATTTCACGGTGATAGAATGTACATTTAGAATGAGAATATGATGGCTAGTGATATTGCGATTCTGCTTATCTTAATAAAGGCCCTATACTTTAAAGGCATTCTTTTATGTACACTTGCTAACAAGTTCCAAGAGAAAACAAGTGAATCTTGTTTTATTCTAAATACTTTAGGCTATGAGTATATCTGAGCAAGAGCACAGCATTTACATTGTGCTCTTATATGTTTACTCAGGAGATGACAAACGTTTTCTATAAAGGGGCTGAGAGTAAATACTGTAGGCTTTGTGAGCCATAAGGTCTCTGTTGCCACCACTCAACTCTGCTACTGTTATAATGAGAAAGCAGCCTTAGACAATACAAATGGACAAGGCTGTGTTCCAATAAAACTTTATTTATGAAAACAAGCAGTGGGCCGAATTTGGCCCTGGGGCCATAGTTGCTAAACCATTCTATTGTCTAAGCAAAAGATGCACACTTGTGATAGTATTTTATGAACCTGTGGAATGTTTTGATGCTGTAAATAGTTATTAAAAGCAAATGTGATTTATACATAATAATAGTAATTTCTATTTCCAGGTAACTTGCTAAGTACTTTGCTTACAGTATCTACTTCAGTCCTCTCATCATCAAAAAGTTCAAGCTGAGAAAGGTGGGAGGGTCTGTTGTGGGATCCAAATAAACAGGCGTGTCTCTGAGACACCTGCCCAAGTGAAGGCAGGGAGCTTGGAGGCTTGGCTCAGGCGGAAATACAGCAAGGGCTCTCGTCTGTGCCTGAGACTAGAAATAAAGTCCACTTGACTCAGAAAGAGGCAAAAAGAGTCAAAAGTCAGACGATTAAGTATGCTTATAAGAAAAGGAAAATCTCAGATTTACTGTCAATAATGTTAACAACTGTTGAGTCTTTTGTCTCTACGTGTCTCTGCATACCTGCTCATAAACTGCACACACCTAAGTTAGCTCCTCCCATTTTCCTGGCAGAGAGACACCCACCCAATGCAGTGCTCACAGACCCCCAGAGGGATGCTTCCCATTGCAGCGTGTGTGGAGAGTGACGTGAGCAAGTGGGCTACAGCGAGTGACTCTTTGGAATAGGAAAGAAAGGCAAAACTGTCTCTTCACCAAGCTTCTTTATCAGGTTCTAGGAGGCAAAACGATGGCAGAATTTCTCTTCTGATGTCCCAAGGAAGCTGTTCTCACCTCCCATTTCCTCAGCTGTGGTCAGGGCCCTATTGTTAGGGTCCCAATGCATGATGGCATCTCCTTGTGTCAGTAGGATGACACTAGTCCCCCTGTATCCTCATGCAGCCTGACCATACGATGCAGGGAAAAGACAGAAACCAGTCAGTTACCTGTTTGGGTCCATATTTATGTCTAGTTTTCCTAGATTTATTAAAGGCTTTTTTTTCCAATTATAGGAATAACGTGTTGTACTGTTTATCTATGGTTCCATCCATACATAGACTTGCTATAAATATCATTGTTTTTTACATCTTTAAATAGGGCCGTGGGACTGTATGTATATTGTTTAGCTGTTTATTTTGAAATGATTTTAAACTTAAAGTTACAAAATTAGCACAAAGAACTCCCATAGGTACTTTTCCCAGATTCACTATTTTCATTTCCTTTCTTCTACTCTCTCTATCATTTTCTCTCCCTCTCTCCCCTTCTGTCTTCCCTCTCCTTCCTTCCTTCCCTCTGCGTGTATGTATATGCGCATGTGTGTGTACGTACGTTCTCTGAACCACCTGAGCATACGTCACATGCGTCTTTGTGTCTAAAGACTTCAGTGTATCTCCTAAGATCAAGGACTTTATCTTATGTAACATATCCTGCATAGCGTATCTTGTCAATCATGTGCTCATTACTCCCCTGGTGCCTGGGCTCAGCCTGTCCTATGGGCTGCTGCCTGCTGGGAGGTTGTCGTCACTATGACTCTCACCAGCAGTGCCAGCTCCTTCCCTTCCCTCAGGGGTGTACAAGGGAGCTTTGGTTATTTTTAGCTTCATTGGGGTTTTTTGTAAGCCTTTTGGGGAGTCAAAATAGATTTCTTACCTTTTTTCTACTATTTTTTAGTAGAAATTTCCTCTTTTATATAAGGAATCCCTGTCTCCCAGGCCCCTTCTTCTAACCCCCAAATGTGACTTCTCCCTCCATCACCCAGTCAGCTCTGTCCTGCACAGGGTGGGGGGTGGTCAGCGGTGTCCTGGGAGGAGGGAGGGGGTTGTTCACCCTAGACAGCAGTCAAAGGGAGCTGCCGTATTTGGTATTGGGGGGCGGTGTAGCTTCTTTTGTTACTCTATTTCTGTTAGTCATTTGTGTAAAACACCAAATAAAGCAATAGGGGCAAACTAAAAAGAAAAATTACAGAATATTTAACATTGAGACAATACTAAGGTCTAATCCAGAGTCCCTATAAAACGTCACCACTTATCCCCCTAATGCCTTTCATAATGATTTTTCCCCAGTTCAGGTTCATTTGCTTCATTTAGTTGCCATTTTTCTTTAGTCTTCTTTAATCTGGGTCATTTGCTCCACTTTTCTTTTTCTTTCACGACATTAATATTTTTAAAAACGAAAGTTCAGTTATTTTGAAGAACGATCCTCCGTCTAGGTTTATTTGCTGTCTCCTCACGTTGGCATCAGTTATGTGTTCTTGGCAGGAATCCCAGAGATGTGATAGAGTGTCCTTCTCAGTGCATCACGCTCAGAGCACGTGATGACCATTTGAAACATCATTGGTGACATTTGATCACTTCGTTAAGGTGGCAAATGTCGTGTTTCCCTAGTCAAAAGTCACTGCTTTTTCTTTGTAACTGATGAGTAATTTGTAAGGAAGTACTTTGAGACAATGTAAATATTCTCTTTCTCGTCAAACTTTCACCCATTAGTTTTGTACACATGAATGGTTCTTGCCTAAATGGATGATTTCTCTTATGGTTGCAAAATTATGATTTTCTAACCCCATTTTTCCATCAACAGTGACATTCCACTATAAGAACTCCTTTTTCTCACTAATTAATTAATTTATTTATTTATTATCAATATCGACTTGTGGATTCTTATGTTATTCGATGAATCGTAATCCTTTACTATCATTATTTTGATGCTAAAATTGCCCAAGACCTGGCCGGTGAGAACCCTTCAAGTAGCTCCTCTGTCCTCTTGACAGGTTCTCATGACCTTTCTTTAGCACTTGCTGACATCCTGGCCTTCCAAAATGTTCCGGGATCATCCATCTTGCCTCAGATTTAGAATCAGCTATGTGTCCAAGAAGACTTGATTCACTCTAGGGGAACATGGTACAAAGAAACACTAAGCCCTGGGGACATGGCGAGTTTATTTCTACTGGGGTGTCATTACTTTTAGGATGTTTCAAAACTAGGACATTTAAGATACAGATGTAAATAATATATAGATTTGTACGATTAGACTAAAAATCATGAATTTACTTTGATACCTCTGATTTCAACCCAACACCCCAGGGCTCCTTTTTGCCTTCCTGTTTTCCACAACTGTGTCTCCCTTCTCTGAAACTTCTCCCTAGTTCCCTGTTTGTTTATTAATGTAGTGACTTTTCTGTACACATTGCTACTAAATATATTAGCTTGGGCAAGCAAAATAACCTGGATGTGGAAAAGGCAGAAACTAAACTGCTTTGCTACTAGACAGCGCTAACTATCTGATGGGCTAAGCATGATCCTAAGTGATTGATGCACGTTATTTCACATTTTAATCATGTAGTGATCCTCAAAGTAGGGACTGTCATGGTCATTTTATAGAGAAGGAGACTGAGGCTTCAAAACTGTCTATATCCAGGGGCTGGCCCGGTTGCATAGTGGTTAAGTTCATGCACTCCCTTTCAGTGGCCCAGTGTTTGCTGGTTCAGATCCTGGGCACAGACCTACACACGCCTCATCAAGCCATGCTGTGGCATCATCTCACATACAAAACAGAGGAAGATTGGCACAGATGTTAGCTCAGAGGCAATCTTCCTCAAGCAAAAGGAAAGAAAAAAACAGAGGAAGATTGGCAACAGATATTAGCTCAGGGGCAATCTTCCTCAACCTCAAAAAAAAAAGAACCTGTCCACATCCAGATGTAGGTGATACAAGAACATGCCTTCTAGATCCTTAACCACCGTATAGTTTTCACTATGCTATTCATATTTGTAACCAACAATCCATTCGTCCATGCTCCAGTTTTTCAGAGGTGTGGAGAGAGCAATATGGGCCCAGAAGTATTAGAATTTGTGTAACCTAACATCTAAAATATGTCAGCTTACTTTTCCCTTTGTAGCTTAACTGGGTCAGAAAGAGACACTTCTTGGCCCTAACAACGGAGACAACCACCTGAGACAGGTTCTCTCCCCAAGTATTTACATGCTGCTCTGAGACAGGGTAGCTCCGGGGGAAATGTATTCCTGGGTAGTTGTTTTCCTGGAGTCAGGAGTTGCTGACAGAAACCATAAGTCTTCATGACTTGGTCAAGTGCGCTGAAGGCCCTTAAGTCTGAGCAGGTAAGATTTGGTTCTAATGACTGGAGAGTAAGAAGTGCCACTCAGAGAGCAAAGGGCGGAGGGCACAGTTGGAAGACAGGCGAACATGGGATCAGGACTCCTGGCCAAGGTCAAGGAAGGTCAGAATTCATCAAATGGTGTGATTAATAGTGGGGAAAATAAAGAGGGGCAAAGACGAGAGACTCCGCAATTACATCTTCCACTCAGAATGTTTAATGTTTGAAACACTTAGATGAAGAGTAAGTTTAATGCCCATTTAACTAATAATTTTAATGCCACTTACGATATTCGTTTATTTGTTTCCCAGCTAGTGAAAACGTCGTGATCAATCATTTGTTCCAGTCGAAACTGTCACAAACAGGATCCCTCGTATCTTCCTATCCTTCTTTTAAATTCAGAGGACATAAGTCTGCCCTGCTCAGTAAGAAAATGACGGCTTCTTCAATGATTGGAGAAAACAGGAATTACCTAGAACTTAGCAAGGTGGGAGTTTTTAAGATTCTTGTTTGATTGTTTTTAAGTTTGCTTAGCACATTCTCTTCTTTTTTTAAAAAAGGGCACAATTCTGAATACTAATGAAGAGAAGTTGATATTTTAATTTAAAAAATTAACAGAAAGGAGTCCTACCTGAAGTATAATCGTGGGAGGAGGGAACCGTACCGGAAAGCACAGTAGAGTGAACGTTCCATAGCAAAGAGAATTAGTGATTTTATAAAAGGTTGTCTGTGCGGCATCCTGTTTATGTTTCATCTCTATGACTGTCTTTGTGATGAATGAGAAGAAACTTCAGGGACAGTAGGCTTGGAGGGAAGAAGCTCCCCGACCTTATTCTGTGGGCATCAATAACTTCAGAAGTTTTAGGTCTCTACACGATACGTTGTAGTTTCTCTTAGAGACATAGTGTATTTTTCAGATGCTAGAATGTTTTCAGTGTGTATTATGTGGATTTTTAACTTATTCTTGTATTATGCTAATTTTTAAATGTGTGTTTGTCCCCCATAAATGTGTTTGCACTTACAACCTGAAGGTTCTGACTATTTGTAAAATAGAACTAAAAATTCAGTGAAGAGTTGTTTCAAACTGACATGTTTTAAATTTAAGAATTCAGGGCCTGATTGTAACCCAGTTTGTTTTGCTTGCCTCTGTTCAGCCATACAAGATGAGAAATATGTTTGGGAAGGCATCCAGGACAATCGACTTTAGAAATTCAGTTGTTGTAGCTTGCTGGAATGCATTTTAGCTTACCAATTAAAACAAACGCATAATTAAAATCAGCCCTATTTTAGAAGAGTGACAGAAATGTGTATAACATATTAGAAATCAGTGTGTGTGTGTGTATTTAGCCAGTAGACCCTAAAATTAAAGATTTTGTGATGTAGTTGTTGCAGCACTGGAATTCAATCTCACTGCATCCAAAATGGCCTCTTTTACATAAAAAAGACAGAGGGTCGCCCTTTGGAAGATCTCTGTTGCTGAGGGTTTTGCTGAACCCTATGGCCCTTTCTTTCTCAATCATCCTGGAAATCAAGAGCAAGAAATCGCCACACACTTCTAAACTGTAATTTCTAACCTTAATTATTAAACATTACCAGGCATAGACTCCATTAGCCTTTTCCCCAAAGAACTGCAAAAGGGAGATAATTCACAGCACTTCCTCCTCTCCGAAAGGGAAATTGAGTGTTCAATTTCAAGCGATGGAGATTTGTTTATTTTGCTTATTCCTTAAATGTTCCGTTCCTCACTCACTTCCCTTCCTACAGTCCTATCCCTGCACAGCCGCCCCGTGACCGGCAGGTTAGGAGTCTGCCCACAGTTTAACCAGCATCACACTTGACTTTGTGTTTGTAGAAAACAGGTCGGTCTTGGACTAATGGCTTCGTTTCACATTCTGCTGTCAGTTACAATTCATCGTTTCAGTTTGACAGTTCATTTTAATGGAAGGAAATGTGCTCTTGCCGTGATAGCAACAGCAGCAAATTGACGAGAACATTTTATCAGAATTTTTTCTTTATCAAGACCTTTTTCTTTTAAGATAAATGATTTTGGATCAATAGATATGTTTGGTCTAAGTCTGTATGATTTTGTGAAATGTAATAGTACATTAGTGGCTGAGGTCCTTTTAACCCTTGGTGGAATTTAATTAATTACCTTCTGCCCTTATTTCTTCACCCATTGGCTCATTTCCACTGACTTCTTTTATCTCCATTATCATATACTCTTTGCAACGTATGAATTTGTTAAAGAGCTACACATAATTACTTATCAAAGAAAACAATCTGTTGTTATTTTTCAGACTAAGTTTTCTAACCCCTTTTAGTAGTTAAAAGAAAAAAAAGAAGAAGAAGAAAAGGAAGGGAAAGAAAAGGATGTGTAACAAACTAAGTGTAGTTAAACATACGGGAACAAAGCCATGATTGTTAAAACATCAAATCTTTGTAACATAAAATAATATCCTTTTGCCCCAGAGTAGGCTACATTACAATGAGTAGCACAACTAGGAGACCAGGGTGTGTTTACTTTACCACCAAGAGTCTGGGTCTGCGTTTATTCTCCAATCACAGTGGGTGCAGAGTGGGGATAGCCGCGTACTGGAAAGGTTGCAGATACGGTTGTTATTGTACAGGTGGTTGTCTGTTTCCCCAACTTATAGCACCATTACAGACAATCATCTGGTACTCATTTTTATAGTCTGTTTTAAATCTACATCTGCCTGTAAGTGAATTTACATGAATGGGAGGGTTAATTTCTTTCTTCTACATGGAATTTAGTGAAATAAATCTGCTCACCGTTTTCTTCTTTTGGTTTTCGTTACAGTTATTAAAAAAGAAAGGAACTTCCACATTTCTTCAAAGACTAGAACGGGGAGCTCCAGTCACCATTGCATCGCAGCTCAGGGTTAGTAAAGTTTTCAGATTTCAAAAACATAAATTTTGATTATATCAACTGTAGAGCGTTTGCGTAGAATTTTTTCCCCATTTTTGACCACTTAAATAACTTCAGAAAAAAGTAAGCATGTGCACCCATGTGCGCGCACACACACACAGAGAATGTGTGATAAATAAAAGAGCCATGGATTGAAGATAAAGGGGCCAGCCTGGTGGAGTAGCAGTTAAGTTTGCATGCTCTGCTTTGGTGGCCCAGGGTTCACTCGTTCGGATCCCAGGCGCGGACCTAGCACTGCTCGTCAAGCCATCTGTGGCAGATGTCCCACACATAAAAAAGAGGAAGATGGGCACAAATGTTAGCTCAAGGCCAGTCTTCCTCAGCAAAAAGAGGAGGACGGACAGAGGATGTTAGCTCAGAGCCAATCTTCCTTAAAAAAAACTCCTTTATATTTTCAGTCAGTTTCTTCTTTGGAAAATCAGTTTGGTTGTACTTCTCTCCTTAGAAATCTCTGACGGATATCACTGGAAAACTTGAGAAGTGCACTCCACACTTTATTCATTGCATCAAGCCCAATAACTCCAAGCTGCCAGAAACCTTTGATAATTTTTATGTGTCTGCTCAGCTACAATATATCGGGGTCCTGGAGATGGTGAAGATCATCCGGTATGGATACCCTGTTCGGCTTTCCTTCTCGGATTTTCTGTCAAGGTAAATTCTGCTCTTGAAACATTGTGTCCGCTGTTCAGTGTAGCATATTGATGATATTGTAACAGGAATCTTCTGTTTTCTTCTCTGGCATTGCCTTTATTGTTTATATTTTTCTATCTTGCGTAAACAAAATACTCTGGGAAACAATGAAATGCACTGATAAGGCTTATGTAAAAATTTATTAAACTTTACTGAAGCTTGAAAACCATTTGCATGTTCCCCTAAATTTGTGGATTTCCTTGCATTTGAAGATTTATAAAATTGTTGCATATAACATTTACATAAAAGTTATAATTTAAAAGAAGAACATATATATGTGTTTATTTTTTCCTTTACATCCACGAACAAGACTTTTTTAGTTCAGGGATTGGCAAACTGTACTCATGGACCAAATGCAGCTCACCACCTGGTTTTATAAATAAAGTTTTATCAGAACACAGCCACAGGTGAAAATAATGAGAATGTCTGTTTTTAGGCAACCAAAAAATGAAAACGGGTAGGCAGAAAGAAAACTAGAAAGTATTTAGTAATCTTAGATTAAAACTATGAAATTTAAAAATAATATAAAATAATATCAACATTACAAGTATGAAACTAGCATTTTGTGGTTAAAACCTAACTGCAAAACAATGGTATGGAAAAATCTGTTTGACAAGTTATTCATCTAAAAAAAGAGATTTTAAGACTTTTGTTGACCAGAAGTTCAATTTGAACCACTAGTGTGACGAAGCTACAAAAGTAAAACAAAGCAAGCCAACCCAAAAACTGAATCACGAAATTGGAAATACTTAGCTCAGAACACAGGGTATGATATTTACATTATGGCTAAAGTTTTATGTTCAATTCTTATAACATTTGTTTTTCCATAAGAAAGAAGTAGCGTTTGTTTCTCGTGTATTTTGGTAGACTTCATAAAGACACAAAATAAGAAAATAAACATCCTATGAGTTCGTTTGAGCCATCCATTTTAAAAAGACAGACTGTCTTCAGAAGAGAGAAGATAAAATCAGCCACATATCAGGATAAATTATTTGGGGAATGAGTATGTTTAACCTGCAGAATATGTATTTCAGATAGACAAATATTTCTGTTTAAAAACTTCAGAGACGCTTATTAATGAGCTAACAGACACACTGTCTCCTCTTTATAGGGAAGAGCTGCAAAGTTGGGCATTACGTAGGGATACATTAAGCCTGAATATAAGAATTAGTTTGTGCTTCTGTTGGCTAGGGGTGGTGGCGTCCCGTCGCTGCTCATTGTGCTTTAAGAGGCATCAGGTGAGGATTTGTGTCTTTCTGGTCCCTCAGTGGAGAATCATTCGTGGTCTTCAGAAATGTTTGGCCTATTAAAGAGTATATATATTTCCCACACGTTGTCATTTGGGAGTTAGTCACCCCTCCTGCCCATTTAAGTACAAGTGGTCTTTGGATCAATGAGTTTAAAACCTGCCCATATACAAGTTTAGAATTATAGATTCCCAAATTCATGCCAGACCTTCTGAGTGACAATCAACAGGGAGTGGGATCCGTGGACCCCTGGTTTGTCTCATGGTGAGGGGTCAGGTGGTATTACCCGCTAGTGGCATACAGTCTCAGAGGGCCACAGGCCTGGATCAATTATAGTTCACTCAGCAGTAGTAACTCCTTGCCCAAGCATCGCTGAGAACAAAGGTTCTCCAACATTAGAGCCCATCAGAATCACCGTAGGCTTGTTAAAACGCGGACTCCTGCACAGCAACCCCAGAGTTTCAGATTCAGTAAGTCTAGGTGAAGCCCGCGAATTCACCTTTCTAATGAGTCCCCGGGTGATGCTGACATTGCTGGTGTGTGGACCCTTCGGGAACCACTGGCCTAGTGACTTGGGGATAATGTCTTTGTTTGGTTTGGTTTGGTTTTGTCCCAGCCAAAGGTTGGACGTATGTGAATGGTTTGATAATCAAAGTGACTGTGGTGAGAAAGCAAAATCTCAGGCATTTGTGGATTTACTGACAAAGTCTATAAACTTGTCGAGATTCCTAAGCGATCTGTATGCACTTGAAGTTTGAGAAGTGCGTGGATTCCTACATTGTATATGAAATAGATTAATCTCAATAGATGAATATTTTTAAAGGGCATTTAGTGCATTTTCTTCTGTTTCTTTATTTTATTAGAGTGTCCAAGAGTCACGGAATCAAAGAGACTTTGCATTAAAGGGTCCTTCAGTGTTTCTCTAGAATAATCTTTGGTAGCTGCATGATTACTCCATTCCCAGGAGAGTGTGTGAACATGGCTGTGTGTGTATACATGTATACAATGTTATATATAACAATGATTAGAAGAATTGTTTTACCTTTGTTTTTTGTGTTCTTCCAAGTCTAGTTTGACATATCTACCCTGCCAGGACTAATCTCTATTAAAATAGTATATGCAATGAATGTCTCTTAAAATTAAGTACAATTTTTTGTATGTATGCATGTCTTGCTAGACTATGACTTCTAGGCTAGGACCGTGTCTTATTCAGTCACAACGCCTGTGCATTGTAGGTATTTAATCAACGTTTTCAGAATGAACCCGGCATTGGGAGATTGTTGTTCAGTTTAAAGTAAAGTTTCTGCATCACAAAGACCATAGCTATACTTTATTTGGTTAAAAGAGTAGTGGAGATGGGAAATGATACTTTTCGGTAAATCTTTCCATGTCTTTCATCAGCCCCTTACCTGAAAGGAGTCGTGATTTCTCCTTATCATCCTTATTTGCAATGGCAGATCAGTAGAAATGCAATTACTAATTTATTTCAATCGAAATTTGCCATCATCTCTCTTAAATGAAAGACACCATTCTGAAATATTATCACGAGAAACACCGATATATTCTGTGTTACACAAAATCCCAAGTCAGTGGCTTGAAACAGCAAAGACTTATTTCCCTCTTACAGTACTTTGACTATGGTTTAAAGGTAGCACACCTAAGCCCAAATCAGTTCTCATCTGGGTCTCTTTTTCATAATGGGCCCCAGTTAAAAAATAGCCCAGATCTAGGGCATCCCCTTTTGGTGAAAGAGGGAGAAGAGAAATGGCAATGGCTGTTACAGCTTCTGCTGAGATGTGGCATATGTCACTCCCTTATATCCCATTGGTTAAAGGCAGTCACTTGGTCAAGGCCAACATCAATAGGGTAGAGAAGTGTCCTACTCATAGGAGGTACTGGAAAACACATAACAAAGAGTGGAATGTGTACACTTCTGGCTCAGTTGTCTGTTGCTGTGTATCAGGCCACCCCAAAACTTAGTGGCATAAAATAGAAGTTTATTATTTCTCCCAGTTCTGGGTTAACTGGGGTTAGTTGGGCAATTCTTCCTTGAGGTCTCTCCAACAGTTGCAGTCATATGGCAGCAGAGGTTGATGTTAGCTGGGCTGGATGTACAAGACGGCTTCTTCACTCACCTGTCTGGTTCCTCAGTGTTCCTCCATATGGCCTCTCTCTCCAGCAGAATAGCCTGCCTTTCTTCCCTGGTGCCTCACGGTTCCAAGGAGCAAGCAAGGACACTTGCAGTCCTCTTGAAAGCTGGACCTGGAACTAATACAGCATCACTTTCCCTGTATTCTGTTGGTCAAAGCAGTTGTAGATCAACCCAGATCTTTTTGGTGAAAAGGAAGCAATTGACAATGGCCAACTTTGGGACAAGCTACCACATCCTCTTAAAGGGAGAACGTGCAAGTCACTGAGAACAATAATCTTCCACAGCCACGCCCATTCATATCAACTGCCGTTATTTCATCTCACCCCAGTACGTGTATATGAGTTCAATGTGTTGGATAATATAATACTATCTTTTTTTTTTCCAAATTAAAGAGTTGAGGGAGAGAATAATATGAGTAAATGCTGATTAAGTGCTTTTGAGGAGTCCTTAAAGGTGTGGTACCATGCCTTGTACCTTGTAGGGTACCCTACCATCATTTTCCAAAGCTTTCTTTAATATGCTGCAGTCTTGTGACATTGTAAGTAACATAGCTTTTCAGTGGTTATCAGTGCCAGATTTTAGTGATATGTATCTCTACTCTTCTCAGGGTGCTAATCCTGTAAATTTTCATCCTCGTCTAGACTTAGGAAGGACATCTTTTGGAATCTAACTCTGGATCCTGGGTGGAAGCTTCTAGGGGTCATGCCCATCATCATTCATCCATGGGCTTATTTATGTTGGTGGGGAGAGTACGACGACATCACTACAGGGAGAGGTTGACCCTTTAATGAGGTGACCTTATTTGGAGAAGACAGAAGGGCTTGTCCAGTGAAAGCACCCCAGGGATTGGTATTATGCTTGGCATGGTGAGGGAGCACGATCTGTGCTTTGAGACAGCTACTGGATGAGATCCCTGTTAGAATTAGTCTGAATCATTGAGCTTGTTTAAATGACACAGTTGTTGCTGAAAGGTCAAGCAGTGAAAGAACACAGCCGTGATATTAAATTGGGTGTGGGGAGACGGATGAAAGAAGACACACTCCAGTTTATTGGATTAAACTAATGGGCAGTGGCTGCCTGATGAAGCGAAATCACCAGTCACAGATCTGGATTGGAATCTTCTAAAAGTTTTCCTTGTTACACAGAAGTGAGGCCAGTTCCTGTCAATGCAGCTCTAATAGAAATGTGAATTAAGAAGTTCAGGAGCTATTAAATATTCTAAAAGCTTTAATTGGCAAAGCGTGAATTTTCTTCAGGGTAATTTTGCCAAATCTAACTGTGCTCTTTCTGCTAAAACCCCCCTGCAGGATTGGCTGATTGTCTAAGGTTTAATGATGTTAGAGAGGGAAGAGGACTTATTACTTTTCAATGAAATATAAAATAGGAGAGAGAGGTATAAGAAATAATCCTAGAAGTCATTTCAGCCTAAATATTATTAAGTATATTTTTATTGGGAATTTGTTACACTGCCTAGTGGAATATGAATCATAAATTCCCCCATAATCTACTCTGGGAATCCGCAGACGCCCTCTATAAAGGGCCACATGGTAACTATGGTGGGC